CTTTCCCGCTTCTCTTTTCCTTGTTACGTTTCGCTTTCATGATCAGAACGGCCGGCGGCCGTCCCAAGTGGGAAACCAGTGGAGTAGATTCTTGGCTGGTCTTGGTCAGCTCGGTCGCTGGACGAGAGCTATATGCGAGCCATGTTCCTGCAGCTCCAAGGCGTTCCGAATTCAACAATAGCGAGACAAAAACAACAGTGAGACAATTGGAGACAAAGACGTCTTAAGCCAAGAGATAGAGTCGCGGGCGAATCATATCACACCAAATTTGAAAAAGTGGGTACTGTGGATTCATTGTCTTGCATGTTTTCAGCGATTGGTCTCATCGGAGCTCTTGTTCTTTGTTCCGAACCAGCACTGGAATAGGTTAGCTTTTAACTCTTTGCAAATACAGCTCCCGTATCCACAAAACGTAGAGCGGGGCCAGGCCTAGCTTACACATTACTACGGAGTATGTCCGTTCGTTCCTGCCTCACCACGAAACTCACCGTCTGCATCTCAAGTCGAATCGGGAAAGAGACAGACACTGGCAATCACCTCCTGAAAGCAAAACTGCAGGACATGGAGACTGCAAACCAAGAGGATGCGTACGAAGGAAAGGACGCCAGCCCATTCATTGTACGGCAATCTGCGAGAAGCTGACAGACAAATCCTCGTCGCCACTCTACGGCCTACACTGACACAGCCGAGTGCAGGCATAATTACTGATCAGATACGCGGGATGGAGAACCTGATCCTGCGGACAGAGAGTCAGTCGCACCTGCTTTGTAAAGAGGAAACTGAAGAGAGGGAGGACACACAAAATGCAAAACCGGGCAGGGGCGATACAAAAGTACCGAGTAGTGGCAGAAGTGGCACTTCACGACTTGTCTGCCTTCTTTCGTGTCAGGCTCTCCCTTGCGTACACTAGTAGGTTAGCCTGAATATCAGGTCGATAACAGCCAGAAATTTCTTTTTCGTAGCGACCGTTCATGTTTTGCGGCCGCCAGGATAACAAGCCAGGCACATCAAGGGGAGGAACTGACGGTGCATTAGCAACAAAGGGCCGCAGGGCCCCTGTAGACGGGTGTTCCTCTTTCTTTCCTGCGAATTCAGCGGTCGACAACCGCTCTTGCTTATTCTAGTCAGGGCGACAGTCCTTTGTAACGAACTGCAGCTATGGAAGGTGCGGCACACACTTTATTTGCCTCCCAGTGGTTCGTGCTCTTATACAACAGCTACCGTTCGTAATGACTGCCTTTTTGCCACTGTATTTCTCGATTTCCAGCAGTCTTTTTCGTTCTCATCATCCCTTAATCCAAACTTACAGCATGTCGTTGAGCGTGTTATTTTTAGACTTTGCTGCGTCTGTTGGTGTAAGGTTGAATCGCGAGTCCCTCTTTCCTTTTTTGGCTATTACACATTGGCGGAGTATTTTTCGGGTTTTGTGGCTTTGGTTTAAACCCACGAAGTCTCGTTTGACGCCGCAGTGTGTAGGGCATTCAGAGAAACGAAACGAAGAGAACTTCAATTGAAACGAAATTGACGCATAAGATGCCATAATTCGGCTTTTGTGGGTAATGTTCAAAAGAACAAAGAACAACAGAGAACGAAATGGCAAAATGACAAAATGGGAACAATTGGCTGCAAGGTTCCCCTTTGTGAAAGAGGCCGCTGAGTAACGTGGGCAACTGTGACCACCCACATCAAATCGTGTGGGACCGGACATAAGCAGAAGGTGGAGTTGTGAGATGCGATTCAACAGGATACTTCTTTCCCTTCGCGTGACGTGCGCCTACCTCTCATGTACCTCTGAGTGCCCGTGGTCGCCTAGCAGTCTCTCACTCGCACTTTCTGTGAACAGACTGATTTGGTGCAGAATACTGAGAGGCGCAAAGGACGGAAAGGACGATCACCACACACTACGCTCTCTCTTTCCAGATCCAGAATGGCTTGGCACGACCATGGAAATGTTGGGAGTTTGGAGAAGCCAGAAGTTGCTGTACATTTCGCCTCTACCATTTTCCCGTCAATCGTCCTTCGGCTCTGACAGCAACACAACAATCGAGATCGACGGTAGCTCAACTGCACCCCCATGCCGTCCCACTCCTACCCACATTTTCCTCCACTCCTCCGCGCAAAATAATCACCCCCCGGCGATACCGCTAGAAGACCTTACGGCGCCCGTGAACACGAGGTCCGGGCCAACAGAAGGCGAACGATGAAGCAGAAATACACAGAATACAGGGCCATCCTCAGGCTATAGGCAGGACCTATTGGCTCTAGATCCTTGCTATAACACACCACATGGGAAACTAACGAGCGGAGAACAACACCTAGAGAGGGAAAGGTGGCGCCATGGAGACTGTTGAGTGAGAGCTCATCCTGCTCTTCTTTGTGACGAGATCGCACAGCCAATCTGGCCCCACATATGGTCCTGCCACCCACCCAAAACATCTTGCTTGGACTCGTCTGTGGTTTTCAGAGAAAAACTGCCAGCCGGAAGAGGGCTCGTACATCGACAGACGGTGGCCATTGGCGGTACGTTTGGTTATGGAACGATAGTAGAAGATTGATTGGGTTGAATTGATGTGGCCACTTTCCTCTGCTTCTCACAAGCAGCGGCATCCAGAAGCTACAATCCACGCCAGAGCTCAGATGGTAGCAACGTTAGCTCACCAAACAGCTCCTTGACGATGTGGCTGTTGAGCCAGCCACCGCATCTTTGGGCGGTCTGATGTCTGGCCGAGTTCAACCATTATTGGTTTCCGTTTCTTTGTCCTCCGACAGCCATGTTACGTTGACACGTCGGCGCCATTGTCTCCAAATTTCTTTTCTTTCCCCTCCAAACATGCAGGTCGTCGTTGGAGTATTGAGGTAAGTTCCTTGGAGGCTTCTCATTGGTCAGGAGAACCTCGTATTTTTTTTTTCTACTCCGTCATACATTGGCCTAACGTTCTGTTTTGCGGGTTTTTGGTTTGTTTTTCTGCACAACATTTCTCGAATCTTGGCTATAATGTGCTTCTAGGCCACTATGTCTCTGCCGCCCTTGGTGCCCTGTTGCCCCCTCAACTTTAATGTGTTTCCACTTCGCTAACATGGAATTGGAGACAATCACAACCTGAGAGACATGCTAGTCCCGAAATGGGAATGATACTTACTTCAGCCCTATGTGGTTCCGCAAACGACAAGTCGCTTTCTACAGCGAGTGCCGCGGAAACGGAATACGACACATAGCGCCTCACTCATACACTCCCAAGTTGTCAACACGATCAGAAGTACTGTCTGTCATCCAGCGTGCTGGGAGACACTGAGCAGATTCTACAGCAGATGGACGATTCGCGCCCAAAGAAAGACTGCTACTTCGCAACAGTTTCTGCAATGTTGCATCCAACACCCATGTCCACACCACCTGTCATGATTTAGGAGCAGAAGCGGGATTAGCAGTGGACGAGCCAAAGACAGTATCTCATTATTCTCTTCCAAAAAGTGCACATTCGAGGCGACAAAATACCGCAGCCCCAGCGCATGTAAGGCCGGCCGATCCTTGTACACAAGCAAAGAGAGGAAAGGACCGCCCCTCCCCGATTATGAAGAGGGAACAAACTCTGCCCATCCTTTCACAAACGTGAGCTGTCAGTGACTCCCAGTCTCTGTCAACAACCGTGGTACGAAAGCAGCTGCTGTAATCCGTTCCGAAATAGAGGCTGACAAGGCGTTCCCTGCATGGTTCTTGCTCTTACAAAGTGCAGCCATGATGTCTCCACACCGAGTCTCACATCCACGACCTGCCGGGCCGTTGGAGTCAAAATTTCTGAACTTCAGTATGCACGAAGCTGAGACCACACTCTGCCCGAAAGGACGAGAACAGTGTCTACCTGCCGGTGACCCTCTAAAAATAGTAAGAAGAAAGAATAGAATGAAAAACTGATCCCACTCACCACAACCACGCCAGAAGGAACCTTTGCTTTTTTTACGACATAATACAAAGTACTGTGGCCAGACTGTACCTTTGGATTCTTACACGGCCGCAGTCTTGCTTGTCAAATCCAGCTCGAGCCCCATCAAAAGAATACCGTGACCGTCTGGATATGATGACGAGACAGCCTACAAATCCAGTATACGAGATCCTTAGTTGGCCTGTGGTTGGCGCTCGCTCGTCCGCATCCTGTTCCGGGCCAGGCTTTCTGTCTTCGATTGTTGCCTCCAGCGGTCTGCTTTATTCTTTTCGCCGCTTGAGCACATCCACCCACGCACCACAGCATATGCGAGTGTGAGTGGGCAGATATGACGACAATGCAACCATGATAACATACTCGATCAACAGGCGGCCTGCAGTAGACTCTTGCGTCCTAGTCCTCGAGGAACCGCCAGGTACCGCACCCGATAGCCAACCCATGTAGCGAGTCCAGCAAGTCCACTTTGTCTTGGCCGGCTCAGCTGGCTCAGCTGGCTGTCCGTCTCTCTCGTCCTTCACGTCCCCGTTCCCTCTCGCCCACTCGCTTTCGTGTCTTGGCTGGTCTCATTTTTTCTCTCCACTTCCCAGTCTTCGTTTGTTAGTGTACGCCAAAATGCGTCCCACTTACATCCTTACACACACTCACACACCTCCTCCACACCCCGACCACTTCGCTCTTTCTTTCCTGTTGGCGTCCTATATCCTTCCCAAACATAGGGTTGGCCCATCCTGTCTGCTGCTTCCCGCTTGCGGAGCGGTCTTGGCTCAATAAGCACCGCTTTCTTTGATAAAAGGCCGCCTTCCCCCTCCCTCACGATGCATATTTATTTCATGTTCCTTCCTCTTCTTTTCTTCCCAAGTTCTCTCGTTAATTCAGACTACAACTCAGTCCTTCGCTTGCCTCACACCTCGCTCGCTCTTCTTCACATTTTTAAATAAACTCTTATCCCTCACCCTCTCTCTCGAAGTTTTCGTCTTCACCACTCTCGCTCACCCCCCCAACCCACACACTCGCTTTTGTTGCCAACACCAACAACAAACAAAACAACATTAGTGTTTCAAAATGCAGGTTATCAAGTTCGTCGCTCCCCTCATCGGCTTTGCCGCCTCCGCCTCTGCTGCCGCTGTCGGCGCCGGTGCCGAGGCCGGTGCCAACGCTGCTGCCAGCGCCAACGGTGCTGGTGCCGGTGCCGAGGCTGGTGCCGCTGCCGCTGCTTCTGCCAACGCCAACGCCAACGGCGGCAATGCCAACGCCGCTGCCAACGCCGCTGCCACGGCTACTGTTGTCGTCTCCGAATACACCACGTTCTGCCCGCAGCCCACCACGCTGCTCTTCAAGAGCAAGACCATCGTCGTCACTGAGGCCACCACCCTGACCATCACTGGTGAGTTCATTGTTGTTGCTGCTTTTTTTTTAATATCTTACAACATCTGCTAACATACCGAAGACTGCCCTTGCACCCTGGAGTGCTTTACTCCCCCGGTCTTCACCACCACCTCGCACGCCACTGTCCCGTTCGCGAACAAGACCACCCAAGTGCCCCCTGTCGTCATCACCGTCACCCCCACCGTCACGACGGTCCTGCAAGAATGCACCACCATCAGCACCCAGACGGTGACCAAGAGTGGCACCACCACTATCGAGACCATTTCCTTCACCAAGACCCCTGGCCCGCCGCCCACCACCACTGTTGTCCCTCCTCCTACCACCACGCATGCCACTGAGACGGAGGTCGTCCCCACCACGAAGGCCACCACTGAGACCCAGGTTGTTCCCACCACGAAGGCCACCACTGAGACGCAGGTTGCTCCCACCACGAAGGCCACCACTGAGACGCAGGTTGCTCCCACCACGAAGATCACCAACACCGTCCTTCCCCCAACGACGACGCCTATTGTCGTTCCCACCACCACCACCTCGAGACCCCCTGTCGTCGTCACTGCCGGTGCCAACAAGGTCGAGGGTGTCGCTGCCTTTGGTCTGGCCGTCGGTATGGCTGCTCTGGTGCTGTAAATATAACAGCATCGCCAAAAATAGGCAACCAGGCAGCCGTCCTCTATTTGAGCCTTCTCTCCTTTTTGGAAGTCGTCTCTTGGAATGATGTGCGGGCGGTGTGTCTGAATTTCTTGTGGTTGTCATCCAGACAACCTTTTAATACGAGACTCTTTTTTCCTTCCTCTCTTTTCTCTCGGCTTTGGAATTTTTCTGCTGCAAAAATTTCCCTTTTTTTAATATTCGTCGTGGTGGGATAGTGACTTTGCGATGACGAATCGGATGATGAGATTGAGGGCGAGGACGACGGTGAGCGTTCATCTCTCTCCCGTTGTCTCTTGACCGTCTCTCTCCATTTTTTTTCGTGGGTTGCTCTACCAAGCACGGCATCCCTTTCTTTCTACCACCTTATCGGGAAACTCGGACTGGTGTTGGTTTTTTGTTTAATACCCTTCTTCTACATTCCTTTATAAACGGACCCGGCTTTTTAACTTGTTCTTTTTTTTTTAGCCTTTTTGTGATGCCTACCTTGGTGGGATTTTCGGAGAGGTAAATCATGTATCTAATAGAGTTTTATGTCACACCCGGGACGAGATGTAAGCGGAAGAGGTCAAGACTACAGGGTGTTTGGGCTCACAAAAAGGCCTCTGCCGTTTTGGGTGTTTCTGACATTCTTGACTTGCGTCTTCATCGTTCAAGTTAGGAAAACCAAAAATTAAAAACACTCATTTGAAATTACGGTGAACATGAGATGAAATGGGCTTTACATCAGAACAGCAATAAAAGCGAGGTAAGAGTGCTGCGTGTCTTGTAAAGGAAGCCATCAGTTTATGCCGGTTTTCTTCCCGCAAAAGAAAAACTTCTAATTTAGTAACAAGACGTGACAAGTCTTTTTCTCGGCCCCCATCACCAAAAAACCCGGGGGCGTTTTCTTCATGTGGCTTCGTCCATTCCGCCGGCTCGGCCTGTCACAATCTGCCAGCTATCGTTGGGCACAAAAATTCCCTGCGGCGTCAGGTCAAGCAATATCATGCCAAAGACGTTGTAAACGAAAGCCAATCAGCTCGGTAGTAGAATGCGTATATGTAATGCTCATCATCGGAGTCGGGTGAGTGTAAATAAAATTATGACAAGGAGCGTCTATATGGTCAAGGTATAGTTTTCCATTTATTGTTTCTTTTTCTATTTACGTGACTTTACGGTTTTCATGTTTATTTTCATTTATTTAGATTAATTCATACTCGCGTCGTTCTGTTTTCGCTGTATGTTTTTAGAAAAAAAAATAATTAAATAAAAGACAGAGGTGAAAGCGATCTATTTTCATGATAATTAGTTCGATATAGATGATAGTGTTGAGCAGCTGGCATAAATGTCGATCCTTTGTAAATACGTTTTATCCACGGCTTGACCTTAAGAGACGGTGAAGTCTCAAAATACGACGACGGATTCAGGGTCGCTCCGGCTGGAGGTATAGAGGGACTCTGCTAGTAGGATGAGCTTCGTAAAAATTCGACTAGAAACAAAGAGCAAAGTATGATTAAAAACCCAAAGATACCAATGTCAAGTCAAGCAAGCCAAAAAAAATAGAGAAACAACAACAACAACGAAATGCGACATGTACCTCCTCATCCTCTCCCCCGTCCTAACAGTCTTTGGTTGGCTCTTCTATAGTCGCTCTGCCGCTAAGTCGTATGCGTGTGAGCCTTGTCTAATGAAAACCCAGTACCCTCCTCGTAAATGCCCCCATAAATGGATAGCAAGCACTCTACTCGTCAATGACAGAGGCGAACTTGTCCAGCATGGACGCCTGGATAGCCTCGTACTGATTTTGTTAGTAGGAGGAGTTACTCATGAAAATAAAAGAGGAACGCGAACGGGAACGGGAACGTGGACGAGAACGCCAACAAAGACTTACCTTCTTGGAGATGACGTCCTGGCCGTCGGAGGGAACCTCAAACTTCAGACTGCGCAGCTGGCCCTGCAGCTCCTGGGTGGCCTCGCGGACCTTGGCCCAGGACTGGCCCTGGGCAATGGCCTTTTGGGCCTCGTCGTGGAAGCCGACCATGAGCTTCATCATCCACTCGGTCTTCCAGATGGGGCAGAACTGGTCGTAGTCCGAGTAGCCGTTCTGCTGCAAAAAGTCCTCCTTGATCAGCGTCGCCATGTCGAGGGTGATCTTGTCCGGGTCCGACAGCGCCGACTTGCCGACCAGCTGCACCACCTGGTCGAGCTCCTCCGAGTCGGACAGCAGCTGGCGGATGCGCTCGCGCAGGCGCGGGAAGTCGGGGTACTCCTTCTCGTACCACCGGTCCAGCACGTTGGTGTACTTGGAGTACGACAGCGACGTGTTGACGGACGGGAAGTGCTTGCGCTGCGCCAGCTTCTTGTCGAGACCCCAGAAAACCTGCACAATACCGAGCGTCGATGCCGTCACAGGGTCCGAGAAATCACCACCAGGCGGGCTGACCGCACCGACAATGCTGACACTGCCCTCGCGCGGCGGCGAGCCCAGCGAGCTGACGCGGCCGGCGCGCTCGTAGAAGCTGGCCAGCTTAGCGCCCAGGTACGCGGGGAAGCCTTGGTCGGCCGGCATTTCACCGAGACGGCCCGAGATCTCACGCAGGGCCTCGGCCCACCGCGACGACGAGTCGGCCATCATGGCGACGTTGAGGCCCTGGTCGCGGAAGTATTCCGCCACGGTAATCCCCGTGTAGATGGAGGCCTCGCGGGCTGCGACGGGCATGTTGGAGGTGTTGGCAATTAGTGTGGTGCGCTTCATGATGGGCTCCTTGCGGCCGTCGACCTCAATGGACAGCTCGGGGAAGTCCTTGAGCACCTCGGCCATCTCATTTCCCCTCTCTCCGCAATTGTGGACGAGCATCATGTTGCCCAGCAGGAACTGGTGGTCGGTGTTGTCGGCCAGGGTGACGCCGTAGTACTTGGCGGGCGCCTGCTTCTCGAGGTCAAAGTACATGGCCTGGCCCTTGCGGTTCACAGCAGCCGGGGCCGGCAGCTTCTTGCGCTCCAGAGCGCAGCGACTCAGGATCGAGGCCAAAACCCCAGTGTTCTCGGGGTCGCTCAGGAAAACGGCGTAGGCTTTCTTGTGCGAGACACCGCGGACTACAGTTGCGGCCTCGGTCGACACAGACACGCGGACGCCCAGCGAGCGGGCAATCTTGATCACCCCATCACAGATAGCGGTGTAGATGGTCTTGATCGTAGCGCTGGGCGGGCCGTGCTTGACATGGCCGTCCGAGTCGATGAGGCCGGCCAAGAATTGTTCACGAACCTCGAAAGGCTCGCACATCAGCACGTCAGGGACCACCTTGGCATGCTGTCCATCCGGGCCGCGGACGCCCATGGCGTTGGCCACAGCCCAGAAGACATTGCCCGTGTTGAGCGGCTTTCTCTTCCCAGCACCAGCAAAGGTACCCGAGGAGCGGAGGAAGATCGTCTCGTCCCCAATGCCGGTGAAACCCTTCTTGACAGTCGGGGAGGTCTCATCACGGTTGAGAGTGGCATTGACCTCGAGATCTCCGAGGACCTTTCGAGCCTCTTTGGCGGGCGAGTCGTCAGTCGGGTCGGCCTTGTCATCGGCCTGGTTGGAGTACATGTACTTCTTGTACTCGCGGGTGTCCACGACGAGGTCGAACATGCTGCCGTACTCCTGCATGCGGCCCTTGATGGCCGTATCGCGAGCATCCACAGCAAAGGCGGCCCTGTCGTAGTACCCATCGCCAACCCAGAATCCCAGGAGATAGGCCATCTCCAGGGCGCCCGATTCATAGCCATGGCGCTCGAGGACCTGGGACAGGTGCCCAGCCTGGAAGAGGACGGGATTGATCAGCTGTTGGGTGGCTTTGCGGACGTGAGTCCCAAGCAGGGACACATCGCGGGCCTCGATGCTCCACTCGAAGTCACCCGAAGGGAGTTCCGATCGGAAGGCCGCAGCCTTCGCGTCAGCAGCAGCCTCACCGCCATGGGTGTCGTGATCCCAGGACTTGGTGAAAAGCTTGACCAGGCGGACAGGGCGTCCGTCCTCGGCTTGGGCGGTGTGCCAGTCGAACCAGCACACCGAAGTCATCTTCTTGCCGCGGAGAACGTGCGTGGTCTTGCGAATATGCTGGGGCGTTACGACGACCAGCAAATGGGAAGCGTTGCACACAAACGAAGCCAGCCTAGCAATCTCGTTGCGGTGCTGCGTCTTCATCGAGACCTTGTACATGGTCTCCGTGCCACGGGGGAGGCCCATCACCATGCGGGGGGTGCCATCCTTGCCCATGACGTGGTCGCCCAGATCGATGGTCTCGACAGGCTGGATGGTGCCGTCGGACATCATGACCGGCGTGCCAGCGGCAAAGCAACCCACGTAAACAATCACGTCGCTGTTCGAGAACTTGGAAACGGACTGGCTGATGACCGTCTTGCCGCAGCCAAACGCACCGGGGATAGCCACGGTGCCGCCCTGCACCGAAGGGAACAGCGCGTCCAGCACGCGTTGGCCGACCAGGAACGGCTGGCTGGCCGACTTCTTTTCGGTTGTCGGCCGCGGCGCACGCACCGGCCACGTCTGCATCATGCCGTAGCCCGTGACCTTGCCGTCAAACTCCACGTCCAGGATCTTCTCGTCAACGGTGTAGTCGCCGGCCTCGACAATGCGCTTGATGGTGCCGCGCGCGCGCGGCGGCAGCAAGATCTTGTGCTCCGTGACAAACGAGTTCTCGTAGACAATGCCCCACACGTCGCCGCCGGCAATGTGGTCGCCGACCTTCATCGTCGGCCGGAACTGCCACTTCTTCTCGCGGTCGAGGGCGTTGGTGGCAATGCCGCGGGGGATATAGATGCTCTTGGAGGTGTCGGCAATGGCGGCGAGCGGCCGCTGGATGCCGTCGTAGATGTTGTTGAGCAGACCGGGGCCGAGCTCGACCGACAGCGGCTTGCCCGTCCGCAGCACTGGATCACCGACCTGGACACCGGCTGTTTTGTTAGTGGGGATTTCGTTGTGGCCAAGGGACAAAAGGAAAAGAGCTCAAGTGGACACAACAAGCACATCATCACCAAGACATACCCGTCTCCTCGTACACCTGGATGGTGGCACGGTCGGCGCTGATGCGGATGACCTCGCCGACGAGGTTGGCGTGGCCGACCTTGACAAGCTCGTACATGGCCACGCCCTCCATCTCCTCGGCGACCACGACGGGTCCGGACACCGAGTAGATCTTGCCTATATGTTCCATCGTGGGTAGGCTGTGTAAGATGCAGCTGTGTGTCTATGCCTTTGGGGTAGAGAGCTCGATGGATGTGAAGAAGGGAAGAGGAGAGCTGTCGAGGATCGTCGAAACTCGGCGGATCTCTCCAGCGACCCAAAAAATGAAACGAATGAAGTAAAAGAGAAAAGCGTGCGGTTCTGCGTCGGATCGAGCAAAGTGTGCGGTCGAAGCAACGGGGTGGAATGGAGGTAGGACGTTGAGGGGAATGTTTGATGTGGGAGAGATTCCCCGAACAAAGAAGGATGGATGGTTGACGATGGCATTTGGAACAGTGCGGGCGTTGAGCTTCTGCGGCTTGTGATTGGGCCTGAGCCACAGCTCGGTGGAGCTGTGGTCTGCGGGGAGCAGTCTGCACAGTGAGTATATACAGTGTCTGCACAGTACCGTTTTACGAGGCAATTACATATGAATTTGTACGCCATAGTAATTGCCGCATTGGAAAGATAACAGCTGCTGGGTGACCTGAGCTGAGCTAGGCAGCAGCAATCGGCGCTAACGCCAAGGTGCCATCACCCTAATTGCCCACTATCATCCGCTATCTCTCTCACTATTGCATTGCATCATACGCCATACCGTTGACCGCTTGCTCAATATGACACCTATCATTGATGCCGTCCTGCAGAGCATCACCGGTAGTCAGCTTGACTTGTTTGACTTATTAAATGTATCGTTGTCTCATTATCATTATAAAAAAGTGGTGAAACGCTGCCGAGGCCCACGAGACAATGTCTCTTGGTGGCAGTATGGGCAGAAGCGAATTAAATATACAGTCCGCAAGACAAAACCACAACTTCCTGACCAGCCCTTTCTCCCAGCTCTCGTCTGTCGTCTTCCCCGTCTTGAACCCCCCACCTCCCCCCCTTCTCTCCTCCAAAACAATATAGAAATAAAACATAACACAATCCGCTGCTGGCCGAGGAACAACAGGGATAAAGAGGCAAACTCCGAATGTGCGTGGCGTGTTGTCGTTAGAACGCGGATGTGCCGTGACAAGCGTGTACACTGCGCGCAGATAAAATCTATATCCATGTTGTTGATGCTGCTATGTTGTTCTGGGAGGTCGTCAAACGGTCTAAATCATAATGAGTTGTAACTGGAAATGTCGTTCATCCAAAAGTACTGTCGTTCCGTGCCGGCCCGCACCGGGTGGAGATCCCGCGGGCAAGGCGTGGACGCTATGTGACCCCATTACAGGATACGGTCCTCAACGATGGGCGTGTTTTCGCCTTGCGTATCATCCGTCGGCGGCGACAGAGACTTCTCCCACTCCTTCATCAGGTCAGTGGCTGTGCGCTTGATGTTGCCCGGTGTCAGCCGGTTGAGAGCGGCGGGCCAGTTGATGTCATTGGCCCGGCTTCCGGACGGCGATGTGGGCGAGAAGGTCGACGTGGTAGAGGTGCGCTTTCTGCAATATGTGTTAGCCAGTGGTTCCCGGTAACCTGTGCGTACCCACTGTATCAGTTCATCCGGCTCTTTTCGTGACTTACTGAGGTGTTGCTTTTTCGTCAGCTTGTCCTGGAAGGGAGGAGGCAACCGCCTCTCCGTTTGCGGTTGACCCACTCCAACGAGGCGACTTCACCGTGGGGCTATCCCAGCTTGACCAGTCGTTATCGTCGTACGAGTCAACTGTCAGAGGCGTCCACGAGAACTGCTTTGCGTCTTTGCCATGTCCGGCCTTGGAACCGGCCTTGGAGCCAGACTTGGAACCAGCCTTGGAGGCCCTTGTCTTGGTGCTGCCGCTGGCGGCCGACTTGGTGTTTTTATCCTTGGAGTCGGTTGGCTGTTCCGAAATGTTCCCCGAGGCGCCGTGACGGGGAGGCGGCGTTGGTGTGCCCTGTAGGTCAGTGGTAAAGGCTCTGGAAAGATTCGGCCGGCTAGAGGCAGAGGCGCGAATTGTGCTTTGCGAGTCATCGGTTGTGCGAGAGTTGGGGTCAATGTTGCGCATGCTACTATTTGCCCCAGCAAGCTCCTCACCGACGGTGGCCTGGCGCAGGTCTTCAACAAACGTCCACAGTGTCGCAGTAAGATCGCCGGCAACCTGCTTCAGACCTGCCACCTGATGGACGGACTGTGGGGCCCACGAGGCACGCTTCGACAACTGCGAGGCAGCGCTGCGGCTCAAGTTCTGGAAGAAAGGCGAGTCCAATTCCAGCGGGGACATGGGCGACTTGGCCGCTTCTTCCTCGCCCTCCGCCTCGGGCTGATCCTCGTGAACATCGAAGCCATCTGCTGACGTTTTGGTTGGCGACAGAAGAGACAATGTTCGGGCATGGCCCCCCCGGAACACGCGGCGACGAGACTGCGTTGGCGTGTTGGGATCGCTGCCTGCCTGGCTGCCCGGTTGTTGTCCAAGAAACAGCGCCTTTCTTCTGTCCAACTCCGATGTCCGTTTTGACGAGGCATCGTCGAACGGCACGGCTGGAGAGCCGGGGTCGATCGTTGAGGCGGTCCCGGGCCGCGCAGGCAGCGAGCGCATGGGCTCCGTCCTTCTAATTTCTGCCCGCTTCTTCTGCGCCTCGTGGGTGGCCCATTGCCTCTTCAGTTTGGTGAGACCGGATTCTGCGCGGTTGAGCTCCTCTCGAAGCTCGAGCACACGACGCTCCTGGGCGGCAATGGCTGTAATCAGGTCAAGTGGCTCAGCAGGCGACGCCAAGCCCGATGCGACGTCAATAGGTGTGGCGGGGAACGATGCCACCGACGAGGATGCGGGCGTCGGCCTGGATGGGAACGAGGTGGGCGGTGCGATGGGCAGTGTCAGCGACAGACGGTTGGCGCGAGACGCTGTGGACTCGGACCGTGACGGCCGTGTCTCTATCTCCTCGTCCTGTTGGCTGCCCGAAGCGCTGGCGCCTGCGCTAGCATTGGGGATTACAGAGCTGGGAGGCGTAGAGACCAGTGGCAGCCGGGGCGGTGGCATGGATTCCGAGGCCGAGGAAGAGGCCTCGGACGATGTCGACTCGGCAGACGAGGAAGAATCAACGCTGAGACGGGCAGGCGTCTCTTCTTCAGATGAAGACGAGGCCTCGGACGAGGTCGCGGACGAAGATGAGCTGTCTTGCTCCCTGGCGGTAGCGTGGCCATTGTTGCGGGCTCGCTGGGGCCGACCCGCCTTAGGCTTGGACTTGATCGATTCCATGTTGAACAGCAGCTGAACGGCGGCCTGGTCAATGCGATTGTGGACTAGTGGTGAAACAGCTTTGTCGACGCCGATTGTGCCGTTGGATGCGCGACGGTGGGAAATGGCGGAGTGGTTATGACGGGCGAGGGACGAGACGGACGAAGATGATGCAGAGGGTGACAGGCGGTGCTGTTTCGCAAGGTGAGGGTAAAGACTGAGAGATTGCGCACAGCGCCAGCGCCGTTGGCGGTATTGACTTGAAAGAGGGGACGTCGACTTCCGTGGATGGGTGACGACAAAAGAACGGCTGCGGCGAAGAGATCGTTTATCGTAGAGGAAATGACGAGAACAAGCAGAGGCAAAACACAGCTGGAAGAGGAAGCCGGTCATGAAGAACGACGGATTTCCAAAAAAGTATTTTAGACTCCTGTTTTGCCAGGAAATTCCCTGGTCTCTTCCCCTTTTGGTTATTTCAGTTTCCCCTATTTAATATTAAGAGGGCAATCTCTGGGTCGTCATTGGCGACAGTGCCCGCAAACCGAGGATCCGCTGCTTCTGTGGCAACCTAGCTGAGTTGGGTCAAGGGCTAGACCTCAGCCGAGAGACGAGCGAGGCGCTTGTCGAGGCCCTAAAAATTGGATAACGCACGCCGTCAGCAGCCGCCGGTGGGCGTTTGTCAGAGAAGGAAGATTGCGGTGTAAGAATCGCCCCCGGCGTTGCATATAATATGGAGAAACGCTGTCGCAATACACTGATGCACCCGGGGTGGGAAATGAACGACAGTTGGCGAGCTGGGGTGTATTTTTGACGAAGCAGATTGCAGTTGACGTGGACGACGAGAGTGGGAAAAGAACGACAAGAGCAAAGGACACGAATCGACCGTGTGATGGCTGTGGCTGCATGTGATCAAGACGTAGAGAAGCTGGCAAAGGCGAACAGGAAAGAAGAAAGTCGAAAGACGCTCGAGTATCGAATAAAGTTGTAAAATACAGCGTAAAGAGCTAAACTGCATAAGAGGGCAAAAGGAGACGCGCCTGGGTCGTTTCTCGGCGCTCTGCAAGGGTGTTGTGCGTTTGATACAAAATAGTCGTGGTAATAAGTACCTTTGTAGGCTGTGGGCCAGCGTCGCGATCGGTCGAATCTGGGATGTTGGTAGCAAAGGAGTGGACGAGAACAAAATGCCAAAAAGTGCATGGAAGAAGACAAACGTGAGGCTCAAAAACAGATGCGCGCGGCAGGAGAGGGGGAACACGCAGGAGATCGGGGTCGAGGTGGCTTAAGTGTGTTGAGAGTGGTCCGGACGTTGGGAAGGTGCGTTGCACGGCGAGGGTGGTGCCTGCAGTCTCCTGACGCTCTTGCCGAGACTGTTCAGACATGCGATTTACGTGCAACTTTCTTGTCTCACAGCCCATATATAGCAGGTGTTATTTGTTGCGTTCTCGTGGCACTAGGCTCGCTCTTCAGGCATGGAAACCATAGAAACAACAACACAGGCCCACCAGGAGCCTTCTCCTTTCATTCTACGAAATACAGTGTCGATTTTCCTCATTCCGCAAATTGGCAGCGCAAACTCCACACGCGGCCTCGATGTTCTTTGATCGCGCCTTCCAGATTGCGCCCGCTTTTTGAGAGGGTAGGCGCATCTGGGCTGCAGTAGCGTGGCTGTCACTTTCAGGCTTTAGTGCTTGTTGCACGAGAGACGGACAAAGTAAACAATCCTGAAACTGGCAACTGCACCTGCAATTGCGGAGCAATACGAGGAAGGCGCAACGACGAGGCAACTCGATGGAAGCGGAGCATCTCGGCTGGCTATATGATGAGGTTCAAAAGAACAAACAAAATACACCGCACAACGCGAGGTCCGAGATGCAGTGTGTTTCGAGCATACGACTCACGAGCGAAAGGATCTGCGCGCCGAGCATGAACACCAATCTCAGCATAACAAAACGACGCGAACCCCAACCGCGCATCCTGGGCAAAACCAAGCTGTTGTGTCCAATCAGGATCGACTTGAGAATAGGCAGCGAAGAAATCAAAAGGTCCATGGAAGCGTCCCGAAGGCGGCATGTAGCCGGGAACCGCAACCAATAATGCAGACGTTAAAGGTTGCAATCTAGCCGTGCGAATTTCTCAACTTGGGATGAAACCCATTGAAGCAAAGGTAACATCACATGACTACGCGCCTTCCACGTGCGAATCTGAAGAATTTCTGGAATGTGGACAGCCTTCAACGAGGAAGGAGCAATTGGACATCCTTTGTATTAAATAAAGAACGCATCGTGAGCGACAAAACGTCGAAATGGACAGAATGTGACAAGGCAACAACAACTGAACGTGCTGTGTGATACGGTGCAACACATCACAATCGTTGCCAAAGCGAGTCCAGGCTTTCAGGCTTGTGAAATCATGACCTTCGTCTTGGCCGAACTCCAAACGAGGCAGTGCCGGAAGATCAGTCCTTTCGTGAGTGCTTTTTTGCTGGTTGCCCCGGACAGGCTCTGGCGGGTTCGCTTTGTTCCTGGCCAAGGTTTCATGGCGCGGCCTTGGTGGACTCTCCCGGCCAACAATTCTGGGCCTCATATACTGTGCATAGGTGCTAGAAGAGCGCCATTTTCCATCGTGGTGAGCAGCACGTGCGAAGCCAAAGGTCGGTTTGCAGGATCATATCCGGAACTTGTCCTGAGAACTTTCACATCCGGTCGTGTTGAGGAGACAAACAAATATTAAGAAACATTTTGGAGCAACAGAAGTTCCGACAGTTTGAACTTGAGGGATATGGAGCATGGTATATACAGTATATAAAATTTACACTGTGTTTATATACTGTATCTTTAGCTGGCTCCTGCCCCGCAAAAAACGATTCAACGCGGTATGCCATAGGAGACGCGCTTGGTGGCAGCCTCGAGCTGTGATCGCCATCACAGCTCCAGCGACACATCAGACACTATCCCCCGACGTCGGTCACGTTACACATCGACAAGCCTCGACCCGACCTCGACGCCCGGCCTACCTATCTCTCTACTTTCGACGAACAAACGAGACCATGGCCAGGGCCTCGTCATAACAAAGACTCCTTCATCGGACTGCTTCGACGCAGCGACTTCGACTTCAGCCGGCAGATGAGGCACGCCATCTCGTGACCCTCCGTGGCAGAGAGTCCTCGTACGCCCCGCCACTGAGAACATGGACACCTCCGAGTTGCCGCCCTACGATGACGGGGGAGGGTCGCCGACCCAGGTCAACGAAGGCCGCAGCTACGACCGATATAACGATCCGACGTCGTTGCCAACACAGGAAGCCGGCAATGACTTTTTGGACCGCTCGTTGGACGAGAACGAGAGCGGTGCCGTCAAGTTTGGATCGATTCGCTCCATGGAGCTAGACTTTGAGTCGCCAACGACCGATCACGTCGATGGCCGGGGGCGAAATAATGGCCTGTCACGTTTCTTCCCGAACTCGGACAACGACCAGCCGGCCACCACGACATTGGCAATCGACTTCGGCTTAGAGACGCCTGCGCAACCCAAAAACCCGTTTTCAGGCAAGTTCCAGACGCCGCTTGTGGCCGGGTCTCAGCTCTTTGCGGCAACGCCCTTTTCGGCCGCGTTCAACCAGGTCAGCCCGACATCATCTCGACCGTCACCGTCCGGGCTCATCCACCAACCGGCGGCGACGACGACGACGACGCCTCATACCGGCCTCTCCTCGCCGACGAAACTCCGCTTCTCTAACCTTGGCGATCAGACGCCCATGCCCGCAGTCCTGTTCCACACGCTGTCCACGTCATCCACCTCTCGCTTCGATGGCAACACCCCATACCCGAACAAGGCGGCTGGTAGCCCGACCAAAGGTGCGCCGCAGTCGAGCCCGACCACGCGCAGGAGGCGAGCTCCCGTTCCCATCACAGAATACGAGTCCATGAGGAAGTCTCAGGAGCGGCGAGAGGCTGCCGAGGCTCGGCCCGAGCGTGCTGGAGGATATGCGTCGTCGAGCTCCGACGACGAGTCCGACGATGTAAGACGGCAACGTATTGTTCGCCAGAAAAAGGAGGCGGCCACGAGGATCCTCGCGACGGTCAGCATGTCCGGTCCGACATTTCGCGGCGATATCGTCGAAGTGCCTGCCTCCGTAAAGAAGGACGCTCGGCCACGATCACAAGGTGGCCGGCAATCTAGCCCCCGCGGGCTTGCGGTATACCCGGAGAGCGATCCTCCAGTCCCCAAGGCGCCACTGACGTCTGATACTGCTGCAAAGGCAGCGACGGCGGCCCCTTCTCCACCGGGGCTACGGTCGAGCGAGGCATATGATGATACTAGCTTTCCACAGTCGTTGATCGACCGACCCACTCCCGAGATTTTGCCGGCAACCAAAACTCCATCGTCCTCGGCAGCATTGCCCGAATTTCCTCTTGCCGGCCAGAATGCGACGGGTCTACATTTAAAGAGCAGTTTGAATGAGACCGATGCCATCCCTGAGACGAGTCCTGCTGGCAAATGGCCGGTGGCTGTCTCGGCTAGTGGGCAGACGGCCAGCCGAGAAATCGTTCTGTTGACGTCCGATGCGGCTGAAGCCGCGGTGGTGCCTGCATCGAGTATGCCCGAGCCTGCCTTGCCTTATCAGAAACAAGGCATGTCGTCTTCACCGGCATATGAACAACGAGACAAGCGACATGAAGAAGCGGAAGAAGTGGTGTCGCTGCTTAAGCAGGCTGCCCGCCACGATCTGAAAGCCGAATTGGCTACATCGTCTCCGCCCGTTCCGACAATACCTGTTCGTAGCAATCGGCCACCACAAAGGAAGAAAGCCCGGTATGAGACCGAGAATGAGGGGCGAAGCAGCGGCCGCAGCAGCGGCCGTGCATCGTTGGCAGCCTCCGTCTCATCGATGGACCGGTCGACCTCTAGTCTCAGTGATCTGTCTGTCACACCCACACAGGTATCGAGGGAAGGGACGCCCATCACGGCCAACGACAGTGATTTATCAGCCCGGGGGTCTACCAAGAGACGCCACACGCCTGCTGCGACAAGCGGGAGCCGCAGCGAAGACGATGATGATTTGCCGCTCTTACCACAACGGCGACGGGCACGCGGCGAATCACTGCCCATGTCTCTTCCCAATATGATGCCACGGCTCGGCCGGGGCTCCTCTAGTACATCCAGGGCCATCAAGCCAGAGGCGTCCCCTGCACGATCCGGCTCGACAGACGAGCTATCTGCGTCGCCTGCCCTTCTGACAGCGCCCGACCGTGGTACGCGTTCCAGCCGAAGGTCTATGAGATCTACGGGCATAAAGCCAACCACCGTAGCCTCGACGAATCTCCGCGTCGAGGCGCCAGCAGCACCAGGCCTCTTCACGGGTATGGTGTTTGCTGTCTCGTTCCAGTCTAAGGGCCACGATGAAGTCAGCACCGAATCGGCGAAGAACAAAAAGAAGAGCCTCGAAGGCCGCATTCAGCAAGCAGGCGGGCGCATCCTGCCTGACGGATTTGAAGACATTTTCCAGCCGCCCCCGACAGCGGCCGGCACCAACTCGATTAGCACTTCGTCGCGCTCACGGGCCGCCCTCGACACAGTCTGCAAGGGCAGCAGCGACGAGCTGCAGCTTCTACCAAGTGCGGCCGACAGCGGCTTCACAGCCTTGATCGTCGACGGCCATTCGCGCAAGGCGAAATACTTGCAAGCCCTCGCACTGGGCCTCCCTTGCCTTGCGCCGCGCTGGGTGACGGCCTGCTTGGACCGCGGCGAGATTGTCGACTGGGCCCCGTATCTGTTGTGCGCCGGCGAATCGGCATACCTAGGTGGTGTCGTTCGGTCTCGGAACCTGGCACCATACGATGCGGCTGCTGTGCGACTTGCCGATGTCGTGAAAAGGCGAAAACTGCTCTTGGACGGCCTGGCCATCTTGGTCGTGCCCGGCAGGGCGTCGAAGGAGACGACGTTCTTGGCGCACGTTCTTGGCGCCCAGCTGTCGCACGCACAAAGTGTCCAAGAGGCCCGGGAACACCTCAAGGCAATGGAAGACGCAGGGCGCCCCTTTGACTGGGTGTACACAGGCCAGGAGAAAGAGGTTGCCGGGCTCTTTGGGGACCGCATCCGGCCTGCTGCCAAGAAGCGCAAGCGTGCGCCCTCGGGCGACGACATAGAACGTGGCGCGTCGCCGGTGAAGACATTGGGTGTCGAGCGCCTGATACAGAGCCTCATTTTTGGCGAGCTTATTGAAGAAGACGATTTCAGCGGGCCAGCAAGGACTTGACGGCAAAAGCTCCAAACTGTACGATGCCATGTTGTTATTTGAATAGATTATGGAACCAGTAGGCAATGACGTTTCACATCATTTATTTTGATTCCTCTAGGACTGCATCTATTGGGAGCGTTGTATATTATTGTCGAAAGCAAAATTTACGTGGGAAACACGTCAAATATGGTATCTCTGCCGCGCACAACGAGCATTATGCTTCTGTCTGATGTATATCCGATCTCTGGCACTGTATGCGTTCACTTTTTATTTCCTTCTTAATTACCTGCCAAAACACCGCAACCAGGGACACCCAAATATGTGCTCCAAACATTATGAGATTTTTCGATTCTGCTACTCCGTCCGAATCCGTTTGCTCTCGGTGCCGTCGCCGTTGCTCGCTTCATTCGTGTCGCCAACTGAGGCACTCCCCCCATCACCCAACGCACCCTCGGCCGGCGTGGACTCTATCGCGCCTCCCGCAACCTCTTCTGTCGCGGTAGTCTCTGTTGCCTCACCTGCCTCGACCTCGTCGCGTCCCCGCACACGGCCGGCACCCTCGCCCAGGCTGCCGCCACGCCCCCGCCAGTTACCCTCCTCGTCAAAGAACTCGTGCGCATTCTCAGCCGTGATCCAGCCGCCGCTGCCCGGCATGGGTGGGGGAATATCGGAGATGGTTGAGACAGCGCCGTCCTGGCTGTTGCCTCCACGAAACACGCCGTGGAATCCCTCGATGGGCTCCATGCCGTCACCGCCCTCAATCAGGATGCCGTCATCGCCTTCGCCGTCTCCATCCTCGTCGTACTCATCCTCGTAGCCGTCTTCGCCGTCGC